CCTCCTCGGAGCTGCCCCGGACCGAGGCGCGGCGCCTTAGCTGCGCCGGGCGGGCAGGATAGGCGAGGCCGCGGCTCCCTACCCAGGAAGCCGCGGAGGGTCGGATATCGCCGTAGGCCCCAGGGGTCGCGTAGGCCGAGCCCGAGGCCGGCTGGGAGAGCCAGGGCTCCGCCCGCGGAGAGCCCGCGGCGGGCCGGGCGCGCAGCGGCGCATCCTCGCGTAGCCGGGCCTCTTCCCGTAACCGCTCCTCGCCCCGCGGCTGGGCCTCCTCCCGCGGCCGGGCCTCCTCCCGCAGCCGCTCCTCGTCGCGCAGCCGGGCCTCGCCCCGCAGGCGGCGCAGCTTGTTGCGGTAGACATCCCGGGTGGTGTCGGTGATGGGTCCTGGCTGGAAGCCCAGGGCCTGCAGCTCCCGCCGCAGTTCTAGGTCCGACAGGCCGGCCATGGCCAGGACGCCGCCCCCCGCCCGCCCCCGGCGCGCACCACACCCGGAACTGCTCCCTCCCGCAGGCGCGGCGGAGCGGGCGGGGCCCCGCGCCATGATGGGAAGGTCGGTCGCCATGTTGGGAAGGTTTGCGCTCGGCCTATGGGTCGGCCATGATGAGGAGGTCTGACGTGGCTCTTAGAGCCGCCATGGTGGGAAGGTCCAAGGGGGATTAAATTTTTTGTTTTGTTTTTCCCTCTCTCTCCGCTCTCCCACTTCCCTTTGTTTGTTAGATCAAACAGTATTAATCTTTTGAGTCCTCCAACCCTAGCTTTGCCTCTGGCACGTGGTAAGCATTCAGTAAAGTCAGTGTTGATTTAATGGATGAATTGGTTAATGGTGAACGAAGCCACTGCCCCGAATGGAGAGACAGGATCATTTGCCTATCTGGGCTTGGGGACTGATGTGTGATCTGGTTTTATTTGGGCCATATAGTACACGCCAGGCATGCTCCAAGACCCTGTCCCGACTTCGGGCTTGTTAACTGGGCGACACTGAGCACCAAGTAGGTGTGATCCCAGCCTTAGGACAGACACTGGCCCCCAAGGAGCGCCAGCCTGGAGGGGACGCAGTTTCCATAGTGGAGGCAGAGGAGCAAAATGCCCTTGGGCTCCAGTGGGCAGTTGAGGCTTCTCTGCGGAGGGCCTGTGTCTGCGTAATGGGATTTTTACAAGGAGACATGGGTGGGAGAAGACTCCAGAGATACACGGTCCTGTAGCCTCACTGGTGGTTTAGGATGTGGGCTTTGGAGCCATTCAGTTCAGTTTCAAATCCCTACTCACAACTATTAGATGTGTGATCATATTCAATTAACATTTTTAGCTTGTTTGCCAGTAAACCTCAATAGAGTTGCTGTGAGGATTAGAAGAGGTAGTTTGGCTAAGGTGCTTGGGACAGTGCGGGGCACACGCTCATGCGTGTTTATACTTAACCCACATCTTTGCAGTGTCAGTGCTGTGTAGAGTCTCCCACAGGGCAGGTGATTTGGTTACATGAAGGCTCTTAGCAGGAAACTCCTAAGGGAAGCAAGGGAATGTGGCAACTGAAAATAGAGCCAGTTTATAATCTTCCTTCCACATCCCTCAACTCCCATTCCCAAACATTTATTGCTGGCCCAATAGGTTCCATCTATTTCTACCCCTGCTATTCCATTCTCCCCTTCCCCCAGGCCCCTTCTCCCTGGAATCCCCGTATCTGTCCCAACAGACCCCTTACCCACTCCTCACTTTATTCCCTCCCCTCCCTGACACGCTGGGCAATGCTATGCTCCTCTGTCTGGGTTTTGCATTCCTGCCACTTGCTCCACCTCAGGGGTATTCAACCCTGGCCACAATTGCTGGGAAAATTACAGCCTCAGCTTGGTCAGCTTCCACTGTTGGCCTCCCCATCTCCCCTGACTTAGCTGCTCCCATGTGGTGTGATTTCTCTCACCAAGTGTTGTTTTCCTTTTCTCTGTCTGTGTTTGCACAGAATGCCGTGAATTTGATATAGTGATTGCCTAACACATATACCACATAATAGTATTTTATTTCTTTCTGAAGCACTGTTTGCATGACAAATGAGTTGGTAACATTTGTGTAGCTCCTTGCAGCTGTGCAGTTCAATATATAAAGAATGAGCCTTTCGGCATCAGTACTGGCCCCACGTATTCTAAGAGGGCTTGAAACTAATGCTTAAACAAAGTTATCGTTACAGCATTTCACAGAGTTATGGTCTATTTTATCACAATGGATCTCAGGGCGATTTAAAAATATGGACTGAACTGGAGCCACCCCCAGTGGTGGCACGCAGTGTGGGCTTTGTCAGCTTCCTTATGTTTGGGGACACTGCTGCCGTTCCACACATCTAGGGTCAAGTGGCCCACAGCCCCTCCCCCAGAACTCTGTTGTCTTCCCTCTGGTGTAGAACCCACTGTGCTTGGAGTTGTGGCCTTTGGCCACCCAAGGTCAGCCCTTCTACCTCCATGGTGGGTTCTGGCTGTCGATGGCCTTGTCTTGCAGGATCCTACAGGCAGGGCTTTGGGTGTGCACCAAGGGACACCCAGTGACCACTTAACAGCGAATTTGCTGATCAATGCTCCCCTTCCCCACCTCCTCTGAGAAGGAACTTCACAAGTTAGTCAGGCGTTCCTCCCAGTTTTTGGGCCTTTCCTTTTCATCCTGGACTCCCAGCTCCAGTCACGTTCCTGCCCAGATTTATAGCCCTTCTTTGGTTTAGTGAAGTTGGCGTGTTCCTTTTTGCTTTCCTCCACACAACCATCCACACGCTCCCCTCCGCTTGGAAGGGCTCGACCTCAGCTCTTCTTTGCCACTGCTGCCCCTTTGGGAGCTGCCCACGAAGCCCACCAGGGCCTCTGGGAGCCAGCCTTTCTGTGCCTTCAGCCTGGCTCTCCTGCTGGGCCTGTCCACGGCAGGAAGGCATATTGTAAAGAAAAGGGCAATATTGCAAAGTCAGAGGCTGCTCTGCATGCCCTCCTTTCTCATCACTGCTGTGTTGTTTTTTTTAAGGTGAGCAGCAGCTCAGGCTGTGGTCCGTCTTCCTGATGTATTAAAGGCAGAAGAGGAAAAATAAGCTCCAATATCTAAATCTACTTAGTAACCACATCCACACATTTGGCAAAAGTGAAGGGCTGCTCGGAGCACGCTCTGGATTCCCAGGGGGCTGCCACACTCCCTTCCGTCCCGCTGACCTCTCTCTGTCTTGGCAGAGCCTTATAATAATCACAGCCATAAATCTTTTAGTGGGTTCCATTCTCCTCTTCCTCCTGCAAAAAGCCCTGCACACAGTTATCAGGCACTCAAAGATACTCAGGGACCACGGACTCGTCCTTGATCCCCCTCATGGAGGGCCTCATGTGTCGCCTCAGCTATTCAGGGCTTCCCCACCTACATAATAGGTGACATTACAGTGGGGGCAGGGCGCCAGGAGATTGTGGTTGAAACGTGGGGCCATTTGGGGCTCAGAGTTTGACTGGAATGACCCCAGGAACACCCAGCTTCCCGCTGTTCCATCTCAGTGCCTTATGGAAGAGGAGGGCACTCTTTTTCTCTCTGTCTAGGTCTGAGGGTGCATCAGCTCAGGGGGAAAATGGAGCCACAGAGAAATGCCAGCATGGTGTTTCCTAATCTGTTGAAAATTAAACAAATCCCTCACTCTTTTGACTGCTCTCACACTTTGATATCCATGAGTAAGAGTTCCTTCAAAGGCATGAAATATATTACCCAATGTCAATAACAAATTGTGTATGAAGAAAAATGTAATGCTTTGAGAATATTTTCTTTTGGGCTTTGTCCATGATTAGATTACACTAAATTACAGCGTACAGATATCAGGCAATTACTCTTTGCTTTTAACTATTCAATTTCATGGCAAATCCACATAGCTCAGTAATGCTAAAATCACACATGCGGTTACCGAGAAAGTACCTCATCATCTCCATTTTGTGAAGCTAGGTTCAAGTTGCACTGTAATGACCTCTGGTCCTGTTAAGTGTAAAGTACATTCCAGATGAACACGGGGTAATCCGTCCTCTCTGTAATTGCCAGATATCTGGAGAGATTCTTGCAGATGTTGCTGGATAAGCTTGGGTGAGGTGTGAAGAGGAATGGCGTCTTTGCTCTCCTGCTTACTCCGGCTACCCTCCCTATCTCTGATCCTGGTTGGTCTCTGGTCCCACTCATTCTATTGCTTTAACCAGGAGCATGTCTCTTTTTCTTCTGTTTTGTGAAAGCATGGTCATTTTCTCTTCACTCAGCTCACAGGATCCTCCCCAACCTCCTCCCAATTTTAATTTCTTCCAAAGCTGTGGATGTCCCATAAGCAATCGAGTCGGCTATCCTGGAAATTGGAGGAGCTTGTTAGTGAAAAAAGAATTATTTGAGCTGATTGTGAGAAATCGAACAGTGGCAGGAGGAGGAAAACCAGAGAAGAAAGGAGCCGACACATCTAAACAAGCGGCCAGGGCACTGTGCATACAGATGTTGGTGGTAGCTGGGTCTCTGTTGCAGCTCATTACCGAGAAGCACATCAGAGGGCGCGGGGTGAGGGTTGGGGCTGTTGGGCAGCAGCGCTGAGCTTTGAACGGGGCTTTTCTGCAGAATGCACCCTCTCCCTTCCCCAGTGCTGTGGTTGCTGAACCAGTTCCCACCTAAACAGTGCAGACCACCTGGGCAGTCTCCTGGGGACCCCATGTCCCTCTGTGGTGGATGTCTATTTCAACTAGAGGCTCTTCAACACCCAGAATCTCAGGGAAAATGCCCCAGCCAGTGCTGGGGCCCCGCCCCAGAAATGGGCACCCCCTGCTGGTGATGGGGGAAGGCAGTCTTGATACAGGGTCAGATTCCAGCAGAGGATGAGGGAAGGACACAAAATGCATTTTCCACGGCGAAGGGGACCACTGTGAGCATCTTGTTTCTCTGCTTCTTGGAGTGTGTTACAGAAAATGGGGTGAACTGGCTTGGTGGAGCTCGGAAGGGAGGAGTCTTGGATCCAGATCTTCCCAGCAGCAGGCTTTATAGATTTCTGTGTCTCCCCCGCCACCCCCCGCATGCCCTTCTGCCGCAGCCCTCTCTCTCTATTACCGGGCGTCTTGGCAGCATTTCCCAGGAACCTGCAGCTGCTCAGGGGTTGATCGGTATATGTGCTGGAAATGCGTGTGAATGTGCAGCGTGGCAGGGGTGGGAGCCCATGGAAGGTTTGAGTGTTTCTCGGGAGAATTCAGAGTACCTCCAACAAGGGTCTCTTGTTCAGCGTTGGAGTTCTTGTTCTGGTAACTACTTTCTGTGGCTAAGCCTGGGTGGAAATGCAGAATGGACACTGTCTAATTGCTGGTAACCTATGGATGGAGGGAGCTGCAGTTCCGATGTGGCCCCAGTTTATAAATAAATGAACATTCATTAATGTAAAATTAAATTAGAATGAAATTTCCCATCCAGTTTTGTTTAGAAGGCAAAAATAAGTGGGTTGGCTGTGTAATTCTGCTGTGGATGCTGGAGCTGATAGTCACAAGGTGATAATAGTAATTTGCTCTTTGCTTGTGCCTCCATCCCAGATCTCAAGGCAGATATTACCACCCTGGTTTTGCACAGGCTCATTGAGGTTAAAGGGCTGGTTGGAAGTTACCTGGCAAGGGGTTGAGTGCAGAGGCCCTAAAATTCTCTGGCCCATTAGACCTCGAGCGTGTCAGTAAACTAAAAATGGACCGAGACCTGGGAGACCTGAATTCCAGTCCTCAGTCTGTCACTGGCTCGGTGTGTGGGCAAAAGAATGATCAGTTTCCTCACCTATAATGGAAGGGCCAGTGAGTGGTACTCTTTCAGTTGTTTGGATCTGAGTTAATATTTGAACTTAGAACTCACAAAAGGCACACAATGTTAATGTAAGCATTATTTATGGCCAACTTTCTCTGAGCTTTACTTTTCCCGCCTTTTTCTTGCGACCTTAGTTTGCCCTTTGGGAATTAAAATATTAAATAAGAGTCATTTCTGTATATTTCATGCTTTATTTGCTGGAGGGGGATTTGCTTTGGAAAGGGTGTTATTCTTCCAAGCCCAGCTGGCAGGCTGTGCAAATTCCCAGGGCCTCACTTGGGCGGGAGAGTCCTCCCAAATCTGTCCACCTTCTCCCCAGCATGGCCGTCACTTGGCTGCTGCAGAAAAGCAGAGGTTTGCACTCAGTACCATCAGCAGGTCTGCTTATGAAACTGCCCTCTAAAACCTGCCTGCAGGTCGGAGGGAGGAGGGGGCACCAGGGCAGGCTGGGCAGGAAGGTGGGATGTTTTGCAAGGAGCCTGGAAGCTGCCTATAGCCTGGGGCAAGTCATTTAACCTCCCAGTTTCTCCATCACTAACAGCACTTCCTCAAGTCTCTTCTCTCCTCCTGGGGACTATGAGAAGTAATTAGTGGCTGTTTGTCAGAGGAGATGTAGCTTTGCTCACGTAACTCAGGCAGACCTTGAACTGGGCAAAGCCAAATAGGGCTCAGGACTTTAATTGGCAGAATGAATGGGGACGGGAAAGTGCACCAAGGTTTCCTTCGGAGCAACCGCCCCGTGGTGATGTTGTGGGAGGGAATTAAAATATCTGGAGCAGGAGAGTGGGGTGGGTTGCTGGGAACCCAGCCTGAGCCCCGTCTCCCTGGAGAACTGGGGCTCTGCAGCCACCAGCAGGTATCACAGTATAGCCCAGGGAGAAGACAGCTCCACATTCTCAAGTGCAAAGCCGCCAAACAAATTGCCACCCTGAAACCCTGCCTCTGGAGTATTAACGCCAGGGTGGGCGGAGGCTGGCCAAGCTGCAGAGATGCCCGCCCTCCCCATACCGTGCTGGGGAAGCATCTCACTCAGCAGCCCTTCCAGGGCGGCCCGGTACTTTTCCAGCTGTCTGGAGTTCATCCTCATTCCAATTTCCAGAGGAGCAGTCAGCTGTGAAATAAGGCAGCGTTAATAACAAGGGAGAGGTGTGGAGAGGGCCCTTAACCCCTGGGTGCACTACAGGTGGCAGGAGGGACCCACGGGAGCCACACCACCCTGCAGACCCCACTAGAGCCTCTAGGGATGGCTGGGAATGCTGCAACCTTCCCCTAATTCTAACCAGAGGGCTGGATCCTGAAGGTCGCTGAGTCCTGCTGAGAGGATCAGCACACCTTCCCTAATGGGGATGCTGGGACGGGGAGGGGGGGACGGGTATCAGCAGGAACCCCAGCAGGCTTTTCTCATGAGGAGGGAATTCACTGCCCCCTCAACAATAATAGCCAACATTGTGGAGCCTTACCCTTATTCTACGCTTTACACTTATTCTAAGTGCTTTATGTATATTAACCTCTCAATAGCTCTGTGGGGTAGGGACGGTTACTGTTCCCATTTTGCAGATGAGGAAACTGAGGACAATGAGATTGAGTAACTTGCTCAAGGCCACACAGGTGGTAAGGAGCAGAGGATGAAGATGTTACATCCAAGGGGCCTGGCTCCAGGGTCTATGCCCACGACCACCAGGCTACCTTTCCTCTTGTCTGGAGGCTCTCCACCAAAGGGGTAGTTGCAGCCTCGAGGCAGAGCCTAGGGCACTGATTGATCTCCCTGTCGCCCCTCCGCCAGAGCTTCCTGGATCAATGCTCTTGCTGCACAAACTAGCCAGCACACTGGAAGACTCCTGGCCTCTGCCTCCCACCGGGCTCCCTGGGTTCCAGGAATGAGCCTCCTAGACCCTTGGGGGCTCAGGGTGCCTGAAGGGTGTCTGAAGTGCCCCAGTTCAGTCCTGCCTGTGCCATTCCCGGCTGTGGTTATGCCTCTCCCTCTAGACCCTCTAGCAGGGTCCTTACTTGAACACGAGGAGGCTGGATTGGGCATTCCCAAAGGGCCCTCCCAGCTCTGTATGTCGTGGTTCTAGGAGATGGAAAGAGGTGAGAGGGGCCCCACCCAAGCCTTCCCAAGAAGGCTTCATGGACATACCATGTCCCCGGGCAACCTTGGAGTTAGTGCCTCAAACTCCGACTCAGGTGCATTTAGGAGGTGATTCTGAGTGTGCTCCTGCTCGCCAGCTGCTGGATTCCCTCCCAGCTCCCTCCTCAGGAGCCCAAGGAGTTCGGAGTGGATGTGGGGGGAAAGGAGCCCCACCTTGCTGAGTGCTGAGTGCGGCGACAGCACCCAGGTTGTTCTCTGGGCCTGACAGCACCAGGAAGGATCACTGGCCTGTGTCCAGTGGGAGGTGGGAGTCCAGCTGGGTTCTGCCCTGACTCCTATGTGACCGTGACAAGGAGACTCCTGCTCTCTCTGGATGTCAGTCTTCTTGCCCCTTGGGCCCCTTTGTGTGGAAGTGACCCACACTCAGGCCTGGGCCTCTGCTTCTCCATCCATACCTGTCTCCTCAAATGGCTCACCCGCGCCTAGCTTGAAATTCCTTCTAACCACGGATGACTGCTACACGTGTGCCTCCAGCCCTCACGTCTCTCCTGAACTCCAAACTTGTATGTCCACCTGCCCGGGCAATGTCTCTGCCTGGATACCCAAGAGCATCTCATGGTTTTCAGGCCCAGTCTGACTTCCTGATCTTCCTCCTGCCATCCTGCAGCCAACCACAGACTACTCTGTCTCTGTGAGTGGCAAATCCCTCTTTAGTTGTTTTGGCCCAAACCCTTGAAGTCAATTTTCACTTTTTCTTAACATCCTATATCCATTCTTTCAGCAAATCCTGTGGGCTTCTACCTCCAAAATATTTAAAACATCCAACCTCCTTGCCCTGCCTCCACCAAGACCGCCTGAGGCCGAAGTCTCCCTCTCTCTTTTTCTCTGTGTCTCATACTACAGCAGCCTCCTCAGCGGCCTCCCTACCTCTGCCTTTGTCCGGTCCCTGCAGTCTGTTCTCAGCAGCTGGAGAGACCCCTTTAAAATGTAAATCAGATCCGTCCCTCCTCTGCTCAGAACCCCCGAGGGCTCCACTTCAGCAGAGTGAATGGAGAGTCCAGTGGCCTGTGAACTCCACAGCTGCCCCTGCCCCTCCGCCAGTCTCTCTGGCCTTCTCACTCTTCCTGAATGCACCGGGCCCTCTCCTGCCTCAGGAACTTTGCACTGGCTGTCCCTCCCGCCTGGAAGCCTCTTCCCCCGGAAATCCTTGTGGTTCATGCCTTGCTCTCTTCTGGTCTGTGTGCCCCTACCGTCTCCTAGGACGCCTGCTGTTGCCCACCGAGATCCATAACCCACCACGGCTCCTTGTGGCTCTGTTTACCTCCATCGCACATGTCATTGCCTGCCACACTGCTGAGTTTGCTTCCTGTCTTTACCTTGTTTGTGGTCTGTTTCAGTCGTCCTAGGATCTTGTTTCTTCTTCCCCATGGAGTGTGAGTTCCACAAGGGCGGAGATTTTGTCTGTTCACCACCCCGTCCCCAGTGCCGGGAACAGTGCCTCAGACCTAGTAGGGGCTCGTTTATTGATCACCCAAATAAACGAGTCTGTGAAATAAAAGAGCTCACGGGACAAGCTCAAGGTTCTCCCCAGCCCCAACAGTCGGCCCTGGGTGTTGAGGCCTGTGGCTGGCTCCTGGGTTTCTGTCTGGGAGGGGAGGAACTGGCACCCTCGCCACCTCTCTCCGGAGGACTGCAGCACCTGCTGCCTGGCCTCCTGCCTCCACTCGTGCTGCCCCAGCTCTGAGAGGGCTCCAGTGACTTCCCTGCTTTGAATCCCCAGTGGCGCTGCATGCAGGCCCTGCCTGGGCTGGCCATGCTGCCCTCTTGCCCACTCGACTCGCACCTGCCACAAGGGCCTGGCGCCCACCAGTGCTTCTCAGTCTTTGTGCTCACTGTTCCTTCTCCCAGGAGGTCCTTGCTCCAGCTCTTTGCACAGGTGGCTCCTTCTCTTCATTCAGGTTTCAAGTCAAATGTCACCTTCTCCAAGAGGCCTTCCCTGACCCATCTCAGGGACGAAGCAGTCCCCCAAACCCCACTCAGTCACTCTCCTACTTCCTTATCTGGTGCCTGAAATGGTTGATTTATCTCGTTGTTGGAGTCCGTCTCTCCCTACGAGGATGGAGCTCACTGCTGTATCCTAGGACACTCTGAGGCTCGCTGTGGTTCGTGGGCCCTGCCTCCAGGCCAGGCAGGGGAATGCATGCCCTGCTGTGAGTTTCTCTCCCTTGTCCCTGTTGTCTGCTCACCTTGATCATTTCGTTTCCTTCTTCCTCGATGAGCTCCGCAGGGTCTACAGGACCTTCCTCCCCAGACCTCTGCCATACACTCAGGGATTTCTTTTGCCCTTTACTCCGTTCCTTTTCCTAAGGGCAGAGCAGAAAATTGCACAGAACTGCCCTCCCTCAACCCACCCTGATGGCCCCTCACCTGTCTCCATCTGCCCAGAACGCTACCTGCCCCCAGCTCCCTACAGACTGAAAGAACCCTCCCCCCAGGAGCCTTCTGCACGAGGAGTCTCAGATACTAACTAGTGGCTCATGGATGGCACTTGAGGTTGCCCAACAATAATAGGTCAACTTGAAGAGGAATCCATTCCTTTGTAGTTAAAACATTGCACCCAGATTGTTACTGTTAATTAACTTAAAACACTGAAAATAATGGCTGCCCTTCATGCATATTAAGTATGAAAATGTGTCTTTTTTAGCAGAGAGCCTATTAAAAAAGTAGCAAGTCAGCCTAGTCTGGGAGGGCGCCATGGGGTGGCCCAGGAACTCAGAGTCCCTGGGAGGTGATTTATAAGAAGCAAGACAGGAGATAAATTATGGAGGAGGGAGTTTGTAGCTTCTTCATAAAAATCCCGGTGCCTGGCAATTATGAGGAGAAAAGCCATGCAGCAGATTAATGCAGTGTCCTTTTCTTGCCATTTTGCTAGTTTATGTTCCACTGGGTTTGGCTATTCCTGTCCAGCCACCAGTCTTGCCTGGCATGCTGCCGGCCAGGTCCCCGAGCACTGTGATCCTCATTCCTTTGCTTTCTCTAGTGACACTCTCGGGACTCCGCTGTTGGCCTGCCCTGAGACATGGTGATTCTAGAACAAACGGTCATCCTGTGGGGAGCCTGCCAGCGTGGAAGACAGTGTGTTGGGGCCTGCTGTTGTACCTACCCAGTTCCCATGTCTGCTTGAAGAAGGGGATCTGGATTCGGCCTTGCCCCTCAAAAGAGCGCTGTTCACTGGGAATGTGGATCCCCACACACCTCCCCGCATAGAGTGGGCAGTTGCAGACAGGCTGTGCCCCAGAGCCTCGAGACCTCCCTGGGCACTAACTCATGTATTCATCCCTATTGGAGTCTCAGTGTCAGACAGGGTGGAGCATGAAAGTCCCTTTCTTCATCTCCTGGGATTAAAGAAACCAAACATCTGCATAGACACTCAGCATCCCTGAAGTCTAAAGTAAAAGGCAGCCGGGAGGCAGAGCCAGCAGTTCCATTTTCCTTAGGCTCCACTGCCTGAGTTCCACGAGGCCTGCCTGGTTCTCTTCTGGGCCCTAAAGAGGAGGTTTTGGCCACTGCTACATGGACCACAGCCTTGTTTCCCGCCTCTGGGTGCTGGCTCCCATTGGTCCCTTGCTCCTGATCTCTCAAGGCCCCCAGCTGAGTTCCACCTTTTCCCTGCAGGCTTCCAAGCACGCTCCAGCCCTTGGTGATTCTCCCTCCTCTGAACCTGAGCACCACTGATGGGGCAATGCATCATGCCCTGCCTGTGACATCTCTCTTTTGTCTGCGACTGTTAGTTAATTTTTCATATGTTCGTGTCTTGGCACCCCAGCCTGCTCCCCGGAGATGGGGAGGTGCTGAGATTCTTTTGCATGCTCGGGCCCATCACCCAGGGTGGCCTCTTATACTGCAGAGCAGCTCAGTAAATATTTATTGGCTTGTTAATTAAAAATTTCCTCCAAAGGATAGGCAGGGGTGGGAAAGATGTTGCTCATATGAGCCACTGACATGTCTGAGTGATGCCAGTGAAGGCGCAAAGGTGGCCAGAGAGGCGACTGGGACTGGGGGTTATCTTGGGTCCTGGTCCTTCACACTTTCCTTGGTATTGCTGGTGTAGGTCATAGTGACCTCAGCCTTGCTAGCAAGGCAGGCAGCAGGAGGTTCTTACCTGCATCCTCTGGAGTTCGCCGTAGGTGAAGATGGGGACGAAGGCTTCCGTCCAGGAGGCCAGCATGGCAGCTGCATGCACCACCAGCAGAGCAGCCACAGCCTTACGGGATACCATCTTGGAGCTGGACAATGACAAGGAGCTCTTGTCACCAAGTTTGGGGTATAGTGGCAGACTGCTGTGTCCGAGGCAGGGGCCCTCAGTTCTGGCCCATGCCCCAGCTCTTGCTGTGTGATCTTCAGCCAGAGCTCAGCCTCTCTGGATTTGGGCCTGGCATCAGAGCTTTAGCAGATGAGCTCTGAGCACCTTTCTGCCCCAGAGCTGTGGCAGCTGGCCGAGCTCCTGGGAAAGGCCGTCGAGCCCCCTACCACACACCAGGGAGGAATCATTTCACTTGTCTGTTCTTCTCTTTTGGTACAGGCGAGGTCTTCTGGGGTCAGCTGGGCTCATAAGGCAGGAGGACCTCATCTTTCAGAGAAGGAATGCCTAGATTATCAACAGAACTGTGCCCCAAGACCCAGGGAAACCTCCCTGCCCCAGTGCCTGTGAGAATGACAAAAGGGGTGGACCCAAGCCCAGATGACCAGGGCTCTGCCTGGAAGTGCCAGGCCAGGACCCTGGGTCTGTAGAACCTCTACCATTGCAAAGGATGAGCCAGATGGAAAAATTCAGCATGGAGCTGTATCCCTGAGCCAAGAGGGCACCCCCTTCCCTGTTGGGGGAGTGGTGTCTTGGGAACAAGCCCCGTGCCGCATGCTCCAGTGCGTCTAGCTGCCTTTTGCCACCATCCTGAAACAGCAGGGAGCGGGCTTCCTCTTTCCTCACACCCTGGAACCCGGTGATTGCTGACCAGGAAGCAGGTGTGTGTAGAATAGCTGGCAGGACATTGGGCTGTGGTGGGCTTTTGGAGCTCTGGTCCTGGCGGGGAGCAGTTCGGCATGGTGACTGCAGGGGTACAGAGCCTTAAGAAAGCGTCCACTGGGCAGACTTTGGGCAGGGACAGGGTGGTCCTGGGGTGGGGGTGGGACGGCCTAGCTGAATGCCAGCCATGGTTGACTCATTCAAAGGCAGCAGGGGCTGGAACCTTGGCCTTTTGAGGCCCAGTGCTTTTCCCAATACCCCATTTCATGTTGCCTCTGCCCATAGCAGATGGAGGAAGGCACAGGGGGCAGGCCTGTTGAATGCATCTTGGGCACCACTGTTCCTGTGCTGGGTGGACTGCTGAGTGCAGGGGCCAGGCCTCCGAGCAGGGAGGGGAGGCCAGGACAGCAGTAGCTCGGAGGGGAGGCCAAGACAGCAGTAGGGGTAGGGGTGGAGGTAGTTACAAGGTTTCAGATAAAGGCTCCTCCAGTCCTTAGGCAGCCTGGATTCTGTCAGCAGGAGAGGGTCTGCCCTGGAAAGGCCTCGGGGCTCCTCTGCAGGTCTCAACCTGGCTCCCCCTTTGAACAGAACCTTCCAAGGCTGCAGGCTTGCATCCTGCCTGTCAGCCAAGACCTGTCTCCTCAGTCATCTGAAGCCACCCTGCCAAGCCAGACGCTCCCTCTGCCTTCTTACTATTCCAGCTCTCTCTTCTTCCCACTTCCTATTTTCTCTCCATTTTGTTCAAACTCCATGAACAAGAACAAGAGAGCTCAGACAGCGAAAGCCTCCCCATCCCAGCTGTATGCAAATTCCCAGCAGGCTGAAAGGACCACCTGCCCACTCAAGACCACCTCCCAGGAAGCCGAGGCCCTGTGCGGAGCCCCAGAGGAGCCTGAGCTGAACGGAGACTGGGTTGAGGTGGGTGGGACCCGTCTCATTCCTGTGCTTTCCCTGAAGAGTCTCTGGGGCCTGCTTTTCCCCCAAGCAGAGATGGATGTGTCACATTTATGGCGTCCCATTTCCTTCTCAGAGAAGCTATAGATCCTGTTTCATTCTGGTGTATTTAATTCACTCCATAGGAATCAATAAAAACTTTAAATAAAAAAAGGCAAAATCCAATTGCTGCTCATTTTCTTGATCCAACTGGCAGTCGGCATGTCACCTAAGTTCATGTGTTCTGGCGAGTTGGAAGTGGGAGAGGGAGCTTTTCATTGTACAGTGAGGCACTAATTCCTTTCCCATCATCAGAGATGGGGGGCTTCAGCCTTCAAGTACCCAGCTCTGCATGACGGGGGTGACCGTCTGCCCTCCCCTGCGGCACTCCTGGCTGGGCTAGCCTTGCCTCCCCATGTGCTGTCCCCTGGGGTCAACTTTTTCTTTTATTTTCTTTCTTTTTCCTTTCCTTCCTTCCTTCCTTCCTTCCTTCCTTCCTTCCTTCCTTCCTTCCTTCCTTCCTTCCTTCCTTCCTTCCTTCCTTCCTTCCTTCCCTTCCTTCCTCCCTCCCTTCCCTCCCCTCCCCTCCCCTCCCCTCCCCTCCCCTCCCCTCCCCTCCCCTCCCCTCCTCTCCCCTCCCCTTCCCTTCCCTTCCCTCCTTCCTTCCTTTCCTTCCTTCCTTTTTCTTTTTTTTTTTTGAGATGGAGTCTCACTCTGTCTCCCAGGCTGGAGTGCAGTGGTGCCATATCGGCTCACTGCAACCTCCGCCTCCCGGGTTCAAGCGATTCTTCTGCCTCAGCCTCCTGAGTAGCTGAGACTACAGGCGCCCGCCACCACGCCCAGCTAATTTTTGTATTTTTAGTAGAAACAGAGTGTCACCATATTGGCCTGGCTGGTCTCAAACTCCTGACCTCGTGATCTGCCCACCTCGGCCTCCCAAAGTGCTGGGATTATAGGCATGAGTCACCGCAGGGCCAGCTTTTCCTTACCTTTCCAGAGCAAAGCCACCATGCCAAGAGGAGCCCTGCATCCATGATGAGCTCTGGCTTGGGTGGATGTGCCAGACCCACCCACAACAGACGCTGCTTTGCCAGGAGGTGCACCCACCTGCTTCCCTCCAGCCTCTGTGCCTCAGCCCTGCCTCTGCTCACTAATGCCTTGGGAATCAGCTTGGGCACTCAGTGTGAAGCCCGGCTGGGCACTGGAAGGTGGCAGAGGGCCCTGGACCAGGCTGGCTGTGGCTTGCACCACCGTTCTGCTTTAGGGTTCATGCCGACCGCTCCCCACCCGCTTTCTCCGAGGGCTACTTACAGCGTGCGTGTGGTCTGAGTGGGTCTGGAGGAGTCTCTCTCTGCTTGTCTTCTGGTGTCCGACTGATCTGATGGGTTCTTATATACCTCCCAACCCTGGGAGCTGCCCTTGGAGCCCATTAACCTTTAACCACAGCTTTGGGGGCCCTCGGTGGGGGAGCCTGGATTCTTGAAACTCGTGGAAACCCCGGGCAGGGCTAGCCACGCTGTGGGTTTCCAGGGCTTTCCTGGAAGGAAAGCGACAGTCAGATGACACCCAGATGGCATTCTCCCATCCACTGAAAACTCAGCTGCCTCTAAGAGGTCATTTTAACAAAAGCCTTTTCTTTTTTTGGTTCCTTAAATATGTGACATTGGTGAGCATCTGCAGGCCAACGCTCTAGTGATCAGATCTTCTGTTGACCTGTCAGAGTGTGTATTAGAAAGATAACTTCTCTTCAGTCTTCCCCCTGAAGCCCCTCATGAAAGAAAGTGTTCAGGAGTTTGTGACAGCATTTCAGTGGATTAATGAAAAGAAAATGACTGAGTCCAGATCCAGGGCTGTGTGGGGCCAGATGCCACAAAGGAGCCAAGGAAATGCAGAGGGGTGACAGCGTGGGAGGTCTGCACGCCGCAGCCTAAATGGGGAGATGGACACCTACCTGGGCAATGTTTCATGGTAATCATGCAATTCAAACAGTATGTGTAAAGATTCAAAGAGGGAAGAGGGAAGAGGTGAATGTGATCTGGAGTCAGACCTGGGTTGCTGTTGCTGGGGCTGGGTGGGGCCATTTCCAGAGCGCAGCATTACTCAGGAAATGCTTGACACGAACGTTCTGATTAAACACAGCAACCCCGTGAGGTGGGTGCGTTTATTTCCCCCATCTGATAGATAAGGAAACAGAGGCACTGCTAAACAGCTCGTCTGTGACTCCCTTGCAAGGTCTCTTTATACGAGGGTGAAGGCCAGACGTGGCCAGGTGCAGCAGAGGGCAGGAGTGAGGGCTTCTGGGGATTTGGGGCACACACAGGCTTAGGATGGTGTGGTTGTGTCACAGGAGGTCCCCTGTGTGGTCTAGGAGCCGCTCAGTCGGATCTGAGTGTGGGGACCCTTAGCAACCAAGCAGAAGGATTTAGATTTGATGGAGGAAATGGAATATTGGGCATCCTCATGATACCTTGAAGGGGACGTTAGGGTAAAAACATCACTCTGGAAGATCTCTAGTTTTCTGGGTACCTGTGATGGACCAGGCAGAGACCGAGGTGGGGTACAGTCAGGATGTGGAATCCCGAGGGTCTGGGTGGGCAGTGGCCATTTTCCCAGGCGACCTACGTTGGCTAGTAGCACCTTCCAGAGAGGCTGCCCCACACATCCAGAGGGGCACTACTTCTTACCCAGGAGACCCTGCCCAGCCAGTCCTTGGGTCTGCTCTGGCCCTTCCACTCAGAAACAAATGTTTGCAGTGCTTCAAACCCAGCGCAGATAACTTCTACCTTCCCCACTCAGCAAGGCTTAATGAAAACAGATGGCAGCTCGGTGTCCTCGCTTCCTGCCAGCGGGGTCTGTGTGTACAGCACTCCACTCTGCACCCACGGTTAGAACTCCAGCACACTGGACCAGCGGCTGTTGTGAGATGTGTGGTGTGGCTCTGAGGTCTGAGACTTATCTCAGGAATTAGAGCTCCAAATGCCAGGGTTTGCAGCAGAGTTGCCATCCCTTAACCTTGGGCCTCATTGGAGTCTTACTGGCCCTGTTTCAAGAGGGGCTTTTAGGAAGAGGTCGCTAGGCTGGGCAAGGTGGCTCACACCTATAATCCCAGCTTTTGGGAGGCTGAGGCAAGAGGATTGCTTGAGGCCCAGGAATTCAAGACCAACTTGGGAAACATAGCAAGACCTCATCTCTACAAAAAATAAAAACAATTGGCTAGATATGATGGCATGCCACTGTGGTCTCAGCTACTCGGCAGGCTGAGGTGGGAGGATCATTTGAGCCTGGGAGATGGAAGATAGAGTGAGCCATGATCATGCCACTGCACTCCAGCCTGGGCAACGGAGTGAGACCCAGTCTCTTAAAAAAAAAAAAAAAAGACAAAGTCACAGACCTTGGTGGGGGCAAAGTAGTCCCTTGAGAGTCAGGAAGTAGTCTATTAGCTTCTCAGGCTCGGGGATGCTCTGGAGGGCTCCATCCATAAGCATGGGCTGCTGTGATGGGGCACATCACATCTGCATCTCTAGCACCTAGACCAGGACAGGCAAAATGGGCCAAACCAGCCTGCCACTTTTTTTCTTTTTACAGCCTGTGAGCTAAAACCAGTTTTCACATTTTTTAATAATTAAAATATCAAAAGAATATTTAGTGACACGCGAATTTAATTTCCATGTTCATAAATACAGTTATATTGGAACAGATCCACTCGTTCATTTATGTGTTACCTATGGCTGCTTTGGGGCTGTAACAGCAGAGTTTAAGTAGCTGTGGCAGAGACCTGTGGCTTACAAAGCTGAACATATTTATTACATGGACCTTTGTAGAAAATGTGTGCTGGTCCCTGACCTCAACAGTGTCTGGAGCATGTGATAAATAACAGCCAGATGTTACACGCGTCTGCTTTTTAGAACCTCACAACAGCCCTGAGGTTCGTGTGGTTATTATCCCAACTTACATGTGGGGAAACTGAAGTGGAACAATGGACCCAAGGTCACACAGCTATTCAAATGGCCAGGCCAGGGAGTCTGGCTTCAGAATGAAGTTTTTATTTATTTATTTATTTATTAAATAACTCTGTTCTTCTGCCCCTCATTGTTTGGTGAGTGTGCATAGGGATGTTTGTAGCTGGGGAAGACACAAAACAGTGGCCTGGTACCAATTCTGTAAACCTGCCACTCTCTCCTTAAGCCATCCCCCATGAGGTCTCTGAGCATGAGGCAGCCTGAGCTGAGCAACCGGAACAAGTGCCGCTTCTGCTGTATGTCCTTAGGCTTGGAGAGGCCAGGCTTGGGCTGGGAGGAGGACTGCAGATGGTGGACCAGGTCTATCCACTGAGCACAGGGAGACATCTGAGGCCACTTTCTCAGGGCCCCTCTGTTCTAGAGCTCTGAGATCCGTGCCCTGCCTCTGCTGGGCCAGTCTGGGCTCTGGTCCAGAGACGCCTCCAAGACACTCTGTCTGAGAAATGATTAGGAGCCTCCAAGCCCAAGGCAGGCCTGTAGTGAGAGATGGGGAGAAGGGAAGTGCGGAAAACAGTAAATAACCCAGGATCAATTTTCTGGGCGTGAATAGCACTAACCTGGATCGCTCCCATGATTCAGTGTTTCTGACCCAAGTAATTTGCAGTATTACAGTGTGACATCTGCAGTTCGGTGTGGAAGGAAGGCAAACCAGGGTTCACAATGAGCTGTGCCTGCTAATGCAAAAGGGGAATGTAGACTCACAGAGGGCTCCAGGTCTGCTTTGGGGTCACAAGCTGCTGGGATGCAGTGGCCTCCGCTCACACCCCTCTGGGCTGCAGGCCGTGTGGGCCAGCCCTTTGGGAACCGTCTCACCAGGAATACGTCTTCTCTACCTTATTTGTGCCTTGGTCCTCGCTGGGCATTTTCCACTGCCACGGTTAGTGCTTTAGAAATGGAGTTGGGTAAATAACAAGCCTAATAACCACTACTTTGTCTTTACCATGTACCTTGGCTCTCCCTACAAATGCTCAGTTAGTGGCTGTTTCTCTCCTGCTAGAAACTGGACAAAAATAAAAGGAAGGCGTAATCTGATGTTCTTCATTTTCCAAGTGGGAATTGCCACAGATATGCAGCAGCCGAGGGAGAGGGGAGGCGTAGAAACCTTACCCAAGTCTAGGAAAGGAAGTTGATAAAACTCAGAGGAAATGGCTCAAACCACATGTGAGCACTTGATTGCCTCTTTCTCCCACAGTGGGCAGAGGTATTAGCAGTTTAGCTCTCCTCTCCTCATGACCTTGAAAATATTGTTTGCTGGGTACTGCCATAACATCTTCATTAATGGTCTGGAACAGGGAGGCAACAGCATGTTAATTAAATTTGCAGATGATACTAAATTGGGAGATGTAGCAAACATCAGGGAGGACAGAGATGTAATACAAGAAGATGTCAGGAGTTAGAACTGCGTGCTGGAAATGGCCAGGTAGGCTGCTGGACATATGTCACCAAGGCCCTGAGGACACAGGATGGAGGATATGGGTGAGAGGGAGGGACCAGCCAAGAAGAAAAGGTGCAACTGGGGGCTCCTGGGGGCCGGGAAGCTTGAACACTGCCCTGTTCTCCAGATGGGTTCCTCAAAGAGCCAGAGGGCGGCAGCCAGACGAAGGCAGAGTTCAGAGGAACCAAAACAGCCTAAGGATTGCAGCCAAAGCTGAAGGAATAATAATGAAAAATGAAAGGTTTCAAAAGGTTGGCTTGTCCAGAACACTGGTAAGAATTAAATGTGCATCGCTCATGGTGAGCAAAGGCCAAGCCAAGGCAACCCAGGGGCAGGAGGGAGGGCAGGAGGACAGAGAGTTGTTGCCGAGACCTCGCGTCTGAAGTCCTTGATGTCCCTTACAGAGACAGAGGTGTGCAACCGGACTCATAAGCAAAAATACAAGTTGATGGTGACGACGTTTAAAACTGGGTCAAGCAAAGCTCTAAGAGATTTATTTTGGGCAACAACTGTGCCCTGGCCCAGGGGACACAGGCTTTGGTGACCTGGGGAGTATTTTTATTCTTTTCCTTCTATGACTCAGGATCTTTTTTCAGAACTCACAAATGATTTGTTGAGAAATGATACACAGCAGACACCATATGCCAAGAGCCCCATGATACAGGCACAGTGCAAGTGGAGAGGAAAACACTGACACAGAGCGGATCCGGCCAGGATTAATTTCCAATTTGCCGAGCTTCTTGTTTGTGTGTTACATCTGCTACTTGAATTAACATTCCTGCATCTCCAATTTCCTGTTGAGTCCATTCAATGCACAGTGACAACCTGGACCCGAAACAATCCAATAAAATGCTTTTCTTTTTGGTTCAGCCTCATGGATTATTGACAGTGTGCACACAACCTAGGGACTCGGCTGAGTTTTACAATAGCATCCCTGCCGATTTCCTGGTCAATATTTCCCCGGGGGGTTAAAATACTCCTAGAAATGTCCCCATCACCAACTTGCTTCTGGGTTTCCTTTCTATTTGTGGGGGTTTATTGCCAAAGCTGCTGCTATAAAACTTCAAGAAGAGATCACA